TTAATGAATTTGGGTTTATTATCATATTTATCTACTTTATGCATATCTATCTATTCTTTAAATACTTGAAAATTTTTTTTTGTGTACATCTATCAGTTTATAGTCTTCTGTATACAAAGTTTTTTTGTTTTCTAGTAGTATTTAAATGATAAATTGATTTAAAAATTATGGTTAATTATTATGAATAATCACAGATAAATCTATAAAAATTAACCAATTATATGAATGTCTGCCCATGAGGTTACAATGTGGTTTTGCTTATTTTTAACTATTTTTTAGTAAATTTTTCTATATTAAATAATATTAATGCTTATTTTTAACTATTTTTCTGTAGATCTTTTTTGTTTTTAGTAATATATTAAGATTTTTTAAAAATCTTAGCTGTTCATAGATTGCTCAGGATCCTGTTAGAAGACAACTAAATAAAGTATAATCTGTCAACAAATGATACTAAAATTGAGAAAAAGCTAGCTTAAAGTTTAATAGAAAAGACAATCTGATTTGTGAATTATGTAAAGTTAGAGAACTGCAAATCTAAAGAATATAGATTTTATACTATAGCACCAGAAACTAGAATATATGATAGACTTAACAGAGCATGAGTTATCTTACCAGTATAGTAATATTTAGAGGCCAAATCACTATACCAATAAACTTTACAAAATAAAAACTTTAATCTTTGAAATATGTGAGAGATTTGAAGATATCTTCAAGATGCAAAGAAAGATAAAAAAAAATTTTAAATTTAAATTACTTTTTATATATTAATTCAATTTTAGCCAAATTTTATAATTTAAACTAATTTATCTTTACAACTTTTATTAAGAACTTAAAAAAATTTATATAATAAAAATTTTTTTAATTACTAAAAATATTTTATAAAATAACTAATAAATACTATGTAAAATTAGTCTAAACTAAAATTTTTTATTACAAATAAAATTATAAAAAATATCTACAACTTTCAAAAAAAATATAGAATGCCCCAGATTGAAGAGATTTAAAACATATACAATATTTAATAAAGTAATTAATTTTAAAATTAATAGATAATTAGAAGTCACTCGGTAATACATTGTATTACTGGTAGTACGGGTAAATCCAATCTATTAAAAAAAAAAACTTTGGAGTATTTATATGGTACAGTATATAACTCAAATTTATTGAATCTTAGTAATTTTTATAAACTCTAGCTTAATTCTTTTTTTAACAAACTTTGGTGTTTGGCTTGACGTGTTATTATATATATATCTAGTATTTGTCATGATAAAAATTTTTAGCCTTGCCACAAAACGGAAGTTGCACACATTTACAAGTCAAAAAAATATACGATGTATTCGTAGAGAATGACGATTTATTATCTTCTGATAAAGTTTATAGATAGTGGAAATTATAACACGTAGAACATAATATAAAATATAACTGATTTTAAATTAAAACGTATTAAATAAAATTATAATAAAATAGTTCTACTAATAATTAAAAATGGTATATCGCTTCCTTAAATGAAATACATCGTGTTGTCTAGGAAAACAAAAAAAAAAGAAAATTTCATTTATAACTCTTAGCATCCTCCATAACTCGGTCAATGCAAAAATCAGAATTATCAAATGAGCTTATGATACTAGAAATGCATACCTTTGGCTAGGCTTTCTTTAACTTCTTTCAAAACGAATTCTGTTTCACCACGTTGCTGTTGTTCCAAATGTAATCTAAAACCAGTACACGAATATAGTTTTGATCAAGTTTAAAAAGTTTGTAAAGAGCACAAGATAGTAATAGACAATTACCGTGCGCGCTTTGCTGCTAAATGTGCATAGTCTAAATGATTTGAAACTTAAATTATTAAAGTAGCCATCGATGAAATATAAAATAATAAATTTAGTACTTACAAGCAGCAGGTGAGATCGATACTGACCGAGTTGCACTATAGATTAAATACATAATTTATATTAACATTTTTTTTTGATTTTAAATATATAAGCAATCAATGAATTCACACCGTTGATAATTATAACAGAGTTTATTTGTCAAGTCTTGCAAACTATCGGCGGTAAAATTATTTTCATCAAAAAGAACGTGATCTATCGAGTTAAAAATAAGTGATATTCTTTTCTAAATGCTTTACTGAAAGTTGACCAAGTTATAAGCATACATACAATGAGCTGGACGTGATGTTCCATGTAAACTCGAATGTGACTGTAGGACTAGCAACATTCAAAAATTTATTTTATACCAAAATAGATATGAGTAGAGGTTGAGAAATAGACTGATCACAAAAAGCGGATCAAGCTTACAGAAGTCAAACAAATACGGATGCGTTATTTTCCGGTCAACGACTGTGCCAGCAACACAGTTTCCTTTGCTATATAGTATATAAACGCGTGAATATTAAGCATATGAATTCCTCGTTCTATTTATTGAAGATCAATTTTACCTGTCAGCATCGCGTTCGTTTTGCGGATAAAATCTTGTATGGTGTCTTTTACCGACAACTACAAAGGTTATTGGAGGTCTATAGTTTTGCTCCGCTTTCATACAAGCCTCTAAACATTCATATATGTAAATATATTACATACGACATATGGCTATTATAAATATTATTAGCACAGTTGCATAAGTAACTTGCCTTTAATTTGTTCAAGTTCATGAGTCAGTACCATTTCAAATTGACTTTCAGAAACACCATCTCGGTACATGATAATTCGTCGAGGCAAAATACTATTTTTATCACGATAATCTCTCAAGATTTCAAATACCATACCACTCATATTTTCAATTTTTTCTTGTCTAGTTTTTTGACTTTCAAGTTTTGGAGTAAAACGACCACCCTGGCGATCGAGTGAACCAACAACTGCACATATAGAAGGCATGTCTTTATAGATAATGTTAATATAAATTTGCATAAATATCAAAAGTAATATGGGAAAAAAAAAATTTAAGACTGATAAGTCATACTTGAAGGACCAGCGCGTCCACCAGTTGGATGTGTAACATCAGCACCCAGCAACAATACTGGTTCATTTGCGAAAAGAGGTATTTCGGCATCTTCAAGTGATTGATTTATTCCTCCCAGTTTTAAATTCATCTTTAATGCAATGTTTGCGCAATATTGTTTGTTTGTCTTCCCTACTTTATCAACTTGGACACATTGTGAAGGTACACCAAGAACTGTATCTGCAGTGTATTTTATTGCTCGGTATCGTTTCTCATCATCGTCCGGAAGAATAAACAACATTAATTGAAGATCATTCTTTAGGTGATCTCTAGCATTATTATATTCTTGTACAACAAGATGTTGATAGGTATGTGGTTCACCATTGGGCTTGACATAATTTACTCTTGGATTGCCTTCAGCGATATCCTATAAAATAACAATTTATTAGGCTAAATTATGAAGATGAATACTATATTTAGGGTTGTTAATGGAGTGGAATTCTCTGGAGTGAACCCAACCCAAGTTGGAGTGGGTTAAAAATATGCTGGAGTGAAATTTGAGTAAACTGGAGCAGCTCTAAGCAGATCTGGAGTGAGTCCAAACCAAATTGGAGTGGTTGAGGAATAGCTCAACCCAACCCAACCCATTAAAAACCCTAACTATATTAAACAAACAATTCACTACCATTCCTTGACTTCTACTTGTGTTTACAAGCTCTTTTACGAATTGTTTGGCTTGCGGAATTGATAACTTTTGTTGTTGAACAAATGCAACTACCACCCAATATTGAAGCGTTTTACCACTTCTGACAAACTTTCGGTCTCGAAGGTTCCATCCACCTTCACGAGGTTTAACGATACTACCCGCTTTGGATGTTCTATGATATGATACTTTGGGAGCTTTCAATACGCGAGCTTTGATATTCATTTAATAACGCACAAAAAGGGCATATAATAAATTAGAACCAACATATAAATATAATTGAGAACACAATGTGCGTTATTATTCTCTAAACTATAGATGCCTGGAATTACTGTCATTTTGTCTTCGACTGCCATTCCAAATCTTTTCAATTTAATATCTTTTTCGAATTGTAGGACATTCTGAACACCTTCAGTAATTCTATCCATGTTTTCTTGAGGACGCAATGCTGTATGCTTAATCATGTGTCCTCTTTGAGCACTAGATAACTTTGCAACAGGAAATCGTTGACCCTAAATTTTTTTAAATAAGTAAATATTGGATCAAAATGACTATAAATTGTTTTAAAATAATACCTCAATAATGTCACATAATTCAATTGGAATCTTATCATTCTTTCGACCTTCAAGTTCGACGAGATGCAAATATTTTAAATTTAACTTATACCTTCGTTGGTAATAAGAATAAATACTAATTTTTTCTTCAGAATCTGGAATATCAACCATGTTTTCACGCGCATTAGTGGAACATAGTCTTTTAATCTT